GTTTTAGTGACATGGATCTGAAAATTACAAATCACTGAATGGGAGGAGAACAAGGTTTTAACTCCTGCTTCATTGGCAATATCTGATTGGTCCCGTTTCCCCCCCTCCCACCGATATTACTTTTCTGTTGTAGATCTTTCATTTTGGTTGTGTGTGGTTTTGATCCTTTCACTCTGGTAATTCAGAGATCTTTGTCTCCATCTCTGCTTCTATTTTTCAAACCACAGCTCATCGCTAGCAGGTAAAGAGATTACTGCCCATGAATACCCCAGAAGCAAGCAAGCTCAATAACGTCCTCTCATTTGTGCATCCTGACAATTGATATTCTAAGACATTGTATCTTTCGTGTTGGAAGTATTGCTATTATGACTATTACTCATCAATAGCTTCCATTAATTCTTCTAGTTCACCTTTAAAACCATGTTTGTAGCAAATTCAGCTCTGTTTGCTGTAGAAATAGATACTTTTGTTTGACCTGTATCTTCCACTTCCTTGGGAACTTGCAAAATTCCATTTGTCTCTTATTACATTATGTCCCACCTTATTTGACTTTTTTCAAAGAGCTCCTTACACACAATGTTGTAACATTTCCTCACAAGAAAGTTACCCCAGGTTCTTGATTATTCTGGTTGTTCTTGTTTTGCACCTTCTCCAGCTCTACAATACCTCTTTTAAGATGTGTAGACTAGAAATGTATGTATACAAGTGGGATTTCACCACACTAAGAGTGATAATGTTTTCCTAATGATCTCCAACATGTAGTGCCCTTTTTTGATAAGCATGCATGTTGTTGAAAGTTGATTTGCATTATCCATGAGAACTCCCAAGATCAATTTAATTGTAGCCCTTTAAAACATCTTTCCATTTTAATGTTGTTTTTCATCATAAATTGTTGAGTTTTTGACCCCACTCAGACTGCAGGACTCAAAGAGTTTTTGTGAATTACATTGGCTATCATGAAGGTCTTTTGTGTAATAATACTGAAGACGTAATAAAGAGGTATTTCCTGCAATAGAGCATGCAAGTATGAAGAGTTCCTGTATTGCCTGTTCTTATAAAGTCCAATAATGTTAGTGGTTCTTTTGTTTTCTTTCCGCTGAGACATATTGATCTTATTTGTAACCTTGATTCTTTCAAGGAGAGTCCATAAAGCGCATGAGAGCATGATGTTGCCCTATGTGATATTATTATTGTGATTTTTCAGACATGGTTCTGTGGTATTGTGTCACCTTCATGATCTCAATAGGGATTTAGTATGGTATTTCTTGATCTATATTAAACAAATCATAAGATACCTGTTTTGAAAACATCCTCTGGTTTTTAATTATCTTTGTTTCTGATAAGTACTTTAAAAACATAGCATATGAAGAGGTTTAGGGACCAGATGAGACATGGGTATCATTCTGCATCTATCTGATTTGTTGTTTGTTTTGTTTGTGGCAAAGTGAAAAGGGTTGGTTAGAGTCGTCTTTCTAGGCTTAGTTAATAAGAGATCCAGGTAACCCCCACTCTATGCCTCATGTCTTAAAGAACATAGGTTTTCCCACAGCATTCTATACAGTATTCTGAGTGATGCACAAAATGCAGTTTTACTTGCTGTTTATTGTGTTAGGAACTAACTTTTCTTCTTCCACAGTGCCATCTGGTTAGAGATTTAGGGAAAAATATTTAGTGTGGGGCATTCCTTCCCCTCTTCTAAAAATGTCCTTGGTAGATATGCAGGCTTTCAAACTCTTACTGATTTTTTTAATTAAGCAAGAAAGTTTTCAAGGAAATTCCTTTGGTTGCTATCAGGAAAATACAGATTTCAAGAAGATAGCATGGCTATCAACAGTAGTGAAGTGCTTTTTCAGCTGCATTATGCAGAGGTTGAGACTAAAGAAGTCGGGTTGGTGCGCAAGTCCTCAGTTCCTCTACTTATATTGGGAAGTGAGTGCCTGGATAAGAGTTAGGAGGAAGATGTGGTTGTGAATGTGTATCTGCTGGGGAATGGCTACCAAAAGTAGCAGATGAAGGGGCACGAGTTCAGGGAAGAAGGAGCAGAGTCCTTCAGGATGTATATGGAAAGAGGGGGAAATAAATATGCCTCACAGGAAGCTTTCTGTGGATAAAACAAATGTGAAGCGGAGATATTGATTTAAAAGACTTAGCATTCATCAAACAACTGTTGTTGAGTTTACTGAAGGTAGTGGGGCAAAAGCTTCATTCCAGGGAGCCAGTTTAAAAATCCACGATAGCTTTGCAGGTTGGGTCCTGGTAAATAAAATTTACTGTAATTATGCTGCAATTGGAAAGGGAAAGATGCTGTAATTTGAAAGGGGAAAAAGCGAATCTTTATAATTGAAGAGGGAGACAAAGTTTGTTGGAAAAAATTAGAAGGCGGCTGTGTGGTCTCAAAAAACAAAAACAAACCCAAACCCAACCACCTATAAATGCATGATCAAGCCTTTATTAGACCACTAGAATTCGAGCAAACAGCAGATTTAATGATAACTCATCTTCCTTATACTATGTACCAAGATATTGTGGATGCAGTCCAGAAAAAAATTATATGTTAGAGAACCAAAATATGGCAGTAATTCATGTTGAGCCACCAAGTAGTTTGCATCCACCTAGCCCCCCCTTTGCCATGTTTTGAAATTCAAGGTTTCTTTTTACCAAGTGGGATATGTAGTGGGCTTTTTCAGGGGCAGACCCAGTTGACAGCTAAGATGTGCTTGGTCCAGTACCTTAGTTGTTTTGCAGGCGTTGCAAAAATTTAGCTCAGTCTTTGAGTTCAATTTTGCTGATTTTGTTTTAGCTCTTGCAATCCCAGTATGTCATCATCTTCATGATTGGCTGTCCAGAATTAGTTGTCTAGATGAGGAAGATACAGTATTATGTAGTAACTAAGCAATGAGCTTGGGTATCCTACTGTTCTAGAGGACAAAGTGTTTAACAAGGCCTCATATTTTGGCCATTGAATTCAACATTGTCTGTTCTGACTGGCAGTGTTTCTTCAGGATTCCAACCAGAAGTCTTCTCCTTCCCATCCTAGAGAAGCTGGGTACTGAATCTGGGTTCTTTTGCATGTTCAACCATTGAGTTAAATCCCTTCCCTGAAGCCATGTTTCCTTTTGCCCTTGGAGCCTGCCTTTGTAAGTTCCTCTGCATCCACAGTGTGGATGTTTGCACAAAATCTGTTTAAAGGTGCAGGGAGACATTTCTCAGTACTGCTTCTGTGAACTCCTCTTTGAGCCCTTCGGTGTACCCATATGGCAGAATTTAGCAGGCTGCACATTGTGTGAGATATGTACACTGTATCAGCCTCTTTGAGCCCTTCGGTGTACCCATATGCCAGAATTTAGCAGGCTGCATATTGTGTGCAGATATGTACACTGTATCAGTATACTATAATAAATATACCATTAGGTTTGAGTCCCATAGCAGAACACAAGTACGAGTATGCTTATTTTCTTTTATTTTTAATTATTCTCTCTCTCCAGGGAACTTGCCTCTGCCCATTTTTTTCCTCATGGTAGTTGTGTGATATTTCATAGGTGAGAGAGTCTCAGAGACCATATTATCCAGTAAATTTCACAACCGAGTGAAAACTTGAACCTATGCTCCCTCCCCTGACTCCATTCTAGTCTGATAACTCCCATCTTACAGAGAAAGGCCTCGTGCTGCCAAGAGGAGGACAGAAAGAGTCCTGCTGGTGCAGACAGAAGTTCTGTCTATCCAGTGCTTTCTAAATGTCTTTTAGGAAGCACCTAAGCTAGTGCCCATTCCCACAGGAAGCTCCATTGAAATCACATTAATTCCGTGTTAATTGGACATTGTGTGAAAGTAGAGTTGTTGTTTTATCTCCTGAATTTATTGTAAAGACAGTTTCTCTTAGGTTTGTGAATGCACTGTTGTATGAAATTACAATTTGAGTATAAAGTCATTAGACTGAATTCAATTGATTGCAATATAGAGTGCTATAGTATATGTCAGCAGAACAGTTTTTTTTAAAAAAGTCCTGATACCTTAAACTGTGAGTAATACTTTTTAAAAGGTATGTTCTGTGGCATTAAGTTGGAACTGACTTAATAGTGACCTTAATGGGGGACTTTCAAGATAAATGAGGTATTTAAGGAGTGGTTTTACTAGTTCCACTCCCTCAGTGAGCTTCCATGGCTGGACAGGGATTTGAACCCTGTTCTGTGGAATCTTAATCTGTCAATCCATCTAACACACTGGGAATCCATTGAGGTTGAGTGCTTTGGTATACATTTCCTAGAAAAATATTGGATCAACACCATTTTTGTCACCTGTTAAAGGCAGCTTCTAGGAAACATTAGGCTGGTTATTTCATTGATTTGGATATAGCTGTGGAAGCAAAAGTTGGAAATTCAGTTCGCTGTCCATTCCAGAAGAGCTGGCCTGTGTGGCTTCTAGCTCCACAGTCCCAGGGTGCCCCCAGAAGAAATGAAGGATAAATCACTTCTGAGTATTCTCTTCCTGAAAAAAAAACCTGAAAAGGGTTGCCATGAATTGACTTGATGGCAGATTATTATTATTATTAGGAAACATGGTTGCTGAGTAGGATTCTGCCCTAAGTGAAAATAATTTAACTTTCAGTCATTGTTTGTCGATTGGGCTAAGGAGCCCTTCTGAAACATGTGCCTCGAAAGCGGTGTAGGGGACTAGTTGCAAAAGTTAAGGGAGTCAGTCATGAAATAGTTTTGATTGCATGTTCATTTATCATTAAATTGTATCACTCACCATAAATGACAAGCATAGAGTGGACTAATCTAACATTGGAGAAGGTCTCAGAAAGTAAGTTATATTAGTAAGTACTATTTCCTCTGGAAAGGTTCTTTAACTCATCTGAAAATGAGGTTGTTCTGTGACCTAGTTTTATGTTTGTTTTGTTGTTGACCTTGTGTTCTGTATTGCGAAGGGATAAAAAAATATTCTTCATGTGCCTAAAATAATTTATATTCAAGATGCTCTCGTTTCTCATTCTTCTGCAGCAAAAATGGCTCAAGCAGCTATGGCAGCAGCAACAGCAGCATCTGGCCATGAGGAGGATTCCTCTGAAAGCAGAATGGTTGTTACATTCCTCATGTCAGCCTTGGAATCAATGGTAAGATGATGTTGATAGCTACTGTAATGTTTCTTAAGTCTCTTGAACCATCCCCTGGATTATATCTCTCTGGGTGCTCTCATATACACTTGTTTATTTCATCACTTCCGTTTTACATCAGTTCACTCACAGGAAGTAGAAGCAGTCAAGATGAATGCATCCCTATCTTTCCTTTGGATGTAGCCAGTGTTTTTTTTTTCTTCCCTAAAAAAATGTTTTCACTCTTGCTGGTCATAAGCCAATAGCTTCTCTTTGTCTTGTGGATGCTTGCCTACCAATCTGTTTTATTTTTCCTTTCCTTCCTTTTTTCCTCTTGAGTTGTGACTTTTTAGAGAGTGAGCCTGAGAGCAGGGACTGCCGTGTTTTATTGATCTCTATAAACAGTTTTGGAAGGTGAAGGTCAAGATGGAGACATAAATGTTTCAAATAAAATAAAAATGATCTCTAACAAGAATGAGAAACAGTAGCCTTTTATGCCACAGGCAGTAAGTCTGTTTTTGTATTATCCTGCATCAGATAACATATCAGTTTATCCCAGTGTTGTCTACTTGACTGCAGTGGGGTTTTTCCAAGGACTAAAGATGGACATCTTTCCCATCACCTGCTGTCTGATCCTTTTAGCTGGAGGAACTAAGGCTGGGCCTTAAGCCCTCTGTGAGCTGGATAAACTGTCCTCTGTGGTGATATTTAACTATTATGCTGGAGGTTTCACTCAGCCAGTGTTAAACAAGCAATTGTTCAGCTGTATAGCTGCAGGTTTTAGAAGAAGTCTGTGTCACTTTAGACTCTTCCATTCTTGTTGAAAGGCAATCCTCACCACTTCCATCTTTACATGAATGAAGAGGAACACTGGCCTGTGGGGACCTAGTGTAGGTGTTCTGGCTTAGCCTGGTAATACAGGTACACTTACCTGCGTGCCTTCATTACATATGCAATGTCTCCGTTTCAGTTCTCGGCTTCTCCATCTAAAAGGATCTTGCAGCTGTAGAATAAGCTGAAGCACCCAAAACTCTCGAGCTCTTGCCAACACAGCAGGAGGCATCTGGGAGTTGCAGTCCATATGGGGACCCAAGGTTGGGAACCATTGTTCTAGAGATTCAGTTAGCGGTAGAAAGGAACGGATGAATAACAGTGTTCATAAGGCAGCTCCTTCAAAATGTTTCTTCTGTGTGCATCTGCACAAACTGCAAGAGATAAGCAGCAAACCTTTTCCTTCCACAGTGCAAAGAGCTTGCCAAGTCGAAGGCAGAAGTTGCCTGCATTGCTGTGTATGAAACAGATGTTTATGTGGTTGGGACTGAGAGAGGAAGAGCCTTCGTCAGTACCAGAAAAGATTTTCAGAAGGATTTTGTGAAGTATTGTAAGTTTGAATCGCAGTGTATCCTTCACAGTCACATAGCTGTCTCTGCTGTTTGTCACATATGTCACTTAATAGACTTTGAAGCAAAGTAGGAAGATCAAAGAATCAAATACAGTGGTGCCTCGCATAACGAGTGCACCGTTTAACGCAGAATTCGCATAGTGATCCGTTTTTTGGGATCACTAATGCGATTGCATACCGATGCTTTCTATAGACGAAAATCGCTTTGCGACGATTGGTAAGCTTACCGATTTTCACATAGCGATTTTTTAAAACAGCTGATCGGCGGTTCCAAAATGGCCGCCGGACGCCCAAAATGGCCACGTGCAGTGTTTTCGCGCCCTGCCCTCGCTTACCAAGGGCGCGAAAATGGCGGCCGGATGGGGAAACATGGGAAACATCGCAGAACGGTGAGTTTTGGGCCCCATTGGAACGCATTAAACAAAGTTTAATGCGTTCCAGTGGGTTATTCCGTTCCGTATAGCGATGTTTCCCATAGTGAGGGTTAATCCGGAATGGATTAACCTCGCTATGTGGGGCACCACTGTAAAATGGGCCTACTTGGACGCAGGACGAATTTCCTGTGGACTGGAGAAATTCAGTCGATGCATCATTTATGCTCATGCAGTTTATGCCCTGCTATGTGTACAAAAGAAGATCTTCCAAAGAAAAATTACATTCTGAACAATGTTCTGTGCCCCATCACCACCGTGTTAGTACTACTGTAACAGTAAAGATACTACTTTGCAACTGTAAAGATACTACTTTGTTTGTGAAATCTTTCACCCCACTAAAATGCAGAGCTTTGGAATCTGCCCCATCACCACCGTGTTAGTACTACTGTAACAGTAAAGATACTACTTTGCAACTGTAAAGATACTACTTTGTTTGTGAAATCTTTCACCCCACTAAAATGCAGAGAAAGTCTTTGGAATCTTACTCATGTGGGATATAACTTAATAGTATTGCATTTAAAGGGAGGCAGTGCATTATATTTCGTATTTCTATACTGCAGGTGTTAATGAAGAGGCAAAAGCTGTAGAACTACAGAAAACAAAGTCAACATCGCTTGATAATAGAATGACGGTGGATATTGTAGAGATGGAAGCCCTCAGGAAATCAGTGGAGGATTACTTCTGCATCTGCTATGGTAAATGTTTTTATTGCAAGAAGCAAGTTGCTCTTCGTTGTAGAAATGAGATGCATTTAATTCTAGGTTATGATTCCGTTAGCTCTCCCCTTGAGGAAGGCAGTGACCCGATGAAGACATAAGGGAGGGGTTGTAATCTTAGCTTGGTGCAAGGGGAACTAATCTGAGAGAGAGAGAACCTTGTTGTCTACTTTATTTCATTAAGCTGGGTGGTAATAGCACTTTACAAAACTTGTGTAAATCAGATGTATGTGTGTGGGAGCACAGGAGAGTGTTGGCCACATATGCAGCCTATAAAGTGCACTTTAGCCATTGAATTTTACAGAGCTCTGAAGAATACTGTCTCTTTGCTAGTGTGTTCAAGATACTGTACTAAGCAGCCTATAAAGTGCACTTTAGCCATTGAGTTTTACGCCCACATACAGCGCTCTGAAGAATACTGTCCCTTTGCTAGTGTGTTCAAGATACTAGTTTTTGGTGTTGTTTTCTAACCAACCTACATTAAGTTCCATTAAAGTCATATAATTGCAGTGTAAGCCGGCAGCTTCATGGGAGTAATGCTGGCAAATATCTCTTTCTTCTTTCCAAAAGAGCATTATCCAGCCGTGACATCTTTTGGCTGTGAATTTGATATCTATCCTATCCGGTTTTAATAACAGTTAGAATAATTTTAAGCCTGAAGGTTGGAGCAAGATGTGGGGGGAAAGGCGCAGAGTGAATTGAGGGCATATGGGCTGTAGTAGTTTTGCTTGCCCTCTAGCTAATGTGATACTTGATTGATACATATTGCTCTTCTCCTCTTCTTCCTCTTAGGTAAAGCTTTGGGGAAGTCCACTGTTGTACCTGTACCATATGATAAAATACAGAGGGACCCATCTGCTGTGGTGGTACATGGTCTCCCAGAAGGACTTGCCTTTAAACACCCCTCCAACTATGATGTCACAACACTAAAGTGGATCCTGGAGAACAAATCTGGGATCTCATTCATCATCAAGAGGTGTGATCGACCCTTCCTCTTCTCTGATTTCTTTGGGATATGTACTTGTTGCTTTTCGTCAAACAAGTCCTGTACACAGTGAAATGTGACTTACAAATGTGTATCACTAAAGTTCTGTAGCATCTTGGTAAGGACGGGGTTTCATGTGCAGACCTTCTACTATTAAATAATAAACATTGTGGGCGCAGGTTCTTTGGCTACAGCTCTGTGCTGCAAGAATTCATCCTCATCCCAAGTCCAAATTTAGGTCAGGTAACATCGTAAGCCGGAAGGATAGCGTTACTCAGTTACCTCCTCTACTGGTAGCATAGTCGCTACCATCACAGCATGTAGCTTGATGGCGTTGACCTCCTCCTTTCTCACCGATAATGGTAGCAGTTGGTCCTAGCAAAGAGCCGTTTCTTCACTGCTGGTGGTTTTGTATGTTCCACAGTGTGTTTACTTTTTTAAATAATAGACATACTGGGCGGCTAGAGTAAGGGGAGTTTTTATGTAGTTTGTGTAGTGAGCTGTGAATCAGGCAGCCCTTGCCCAGGTATTGTCTCTGCTGTTCTCTCTGTACATAGTGTAGACTGGGCATGGTGATAACTGTCTTTTCTTAGGAGGTGGTTGCTGAGGGGAAAAATATGAAGTGCTTTGAACACACAGGTTCTCTTAGCTCTTGTGTAACTGTGCTTTTAAAATAATAGAATGCTTTTTTTTTTAATGTAGGCCATTCCTTGAGCCGAAAAAACATTTAGGTGAGTAGTTGCTTTTCTGTTCTAAATAAAAACATTTAGCTCGCTTTTGATATACTGCTCAGTTTTTGTTTGTTTGTTTTTTGCTTTTTGTTACTAGGCACATAATTATACAGAACTGGTATTTCTAAATTAAGTACTTGAATCTGGAAGCAGATTTTGGCTGTTATTTCATCTTTTTAGTCTTTTGTGAGGGCAGTTTAAACCTTTTCTACACTTTTGCTACTCAGCAGCCTTTGTGAAGGAGGTGACTTTAAATATTACTTGTTTAGAACAAGTCTTATTTCTCTTTTTTTAAAATACGAAAGTTGAAGCAGCAAATAACATGAACGTCGATCAATTATATATTTGTTTGGCAGATGCTGAAGTGGCATAAATTATTTATAGATGGTAGCGAAAATACATGTGCAAGTGAATACTTTTGAGAAGCAAGTTCCAAGAAGCACATTTAAATTTATATTACTGCCTTGGCAAGTATTTTTCTGGGCCTGTATGCCGGAGCTGGAGTCCCGAAGGCAGTTCGTGTCGTTCTGCCAACTCCTGCGACGTTGCTGGAACCAGTCGTATTGGCTCTTGCCTTTCCATTGGACCATTTCAGCAACGTGGAGAGGGGGGATCTGCTGCTTGGGTAACAGCCTATCCTCCATATTACTTTACCCCGGCTTCATGCTCTGGAGAGGACACTCCTCAATTCAGAGCATGTTACCGTAGTCTCTCGAGACTGAAGGATGCCTATGGAAATGGAAATATGCTGACACAACCAGTTAATTGCTGGCTTTCGGAGCTGGCACTTATCAAGTTTGTGTTTGTCCAAGATGGATCTGCTTAAGACTTTATAGCAAGCCTCACCTAGAAGCCTTTCTAGACATCAGGACCATTTCCTGACACACTGCACCGTAGGAGTTGAGATGTCACCCTAATGTTTTTATACTCTCTTAGTTTCCATAGCCTGGTAGAAACTCCACCTAACATGTTTTTGGTTGTAGATTCAAAACATAGTTAAGTTTCGATATGGTGTTATCCCACCAACCAGTGATGAAGTTGGGGAGCAGAGAGGCTGTTCCATAACAGAAGGAGAGTGCTGCCGGTGTTAATGTTGCATGTAAATAGTAGTAGCATTTCCTTGGAGTTAGATAACAAAGCTTGATTATGTTTCTTCCTTGCCCCCTTACATACCTTGTTTTCAGCATGTGTGAGTTAGATAACAAAGCTTGATTATGTTTCCTCCTTGCCCCCTTACATACCTTGCTTTCAGCATGTGTTACATTTGAGTGTTACATTGTAGAATCTTAATTCCCCCCCCCCATTCAGGGCCTCGCATAGTGGACTCCTCACATACCGTAATCTCCTCAGGCGGAAGGTAAATATATTTTATGCTTTTTTTGTGGCTCCTAATTCTGTCTCCCCAAAAGCTTTTTCTAGCATCATCAGTAAAGCATAGTCTCTCTGATTAGAACAGGGGCCAGGCAATATTCGTTGATTTATTTATTCATGTAAAATGTTTTCCCTTGCTTTTGATGGGGAATTCAATTCAAAATTGATGGGGAATTTTAAAAAAGTACTGCTTGCAACAGTACTTTTTAAAAATTGTCAAAAAGGAATTGGGGATAGCAATTTATTTAGTCATCAGCAAGCTCAATTAAAATCCTGATAGTAAGCTTTATTTACTGTCCAAAGGCCGTAAGATTAGATACTGCAGTAATTAACTGCCTTGTTTTTTCCTCTCCATCCATTTGCTTAACTGATGCACTTTAAAAAAAAGAATTACCAATTCCATTTGAAATCATAAGATCCTTGTGACTGCGAAGAAAGGTATAAAGCTAGTCCAGAGTTCTTACTAGGTGCATAAGTCTGATCTTCAGAGTTTATCTCTTTTTGCTTAGCATATGGCTGCATAACATGGCTGTGCGTTGTGTATCATGTGGAGTTTTCATGTTGCATCCATTTTGATGAGTATATTGTTTAAGGCTAGAACACGTGCTTTACATGCTGAAGGTTCTGGGTGCAACCACCATCTTTGCGTGGGGATCATTGTTACTTTATTATTAGCAGCAACACTACTAGTAGTAGGATTACACTTTCTGGATTTGTGTTACATATCCTTTTTGCTATATTTGTCTAGTTGCCCTCCCATACAGGTGAAGACAGAACCCAGTGAAGATTCTGGTATGTAGTCCCGCTTTCTCTTTAAATATTTCTTTCTTGAGCGTGCCGTAGGATGCACATTAGACCTTCCAGATGTTCCTGGTCTGCAGCGCACTGCACACCATTGTCTATGTTAGTTCTGGATGGTGGAATTTACAGTTTAATAACATTTGGAGGGGCTGTATGGTTTGGGTTTTATCACTTTGTGGTGCATTGTAAGTCAAAGTCCTGTGAGCTTGCCAGATGCTGTGCTGTAATTGGTATTACGGGACAGTTGAAAGGATGCCTTGTCTCGGTGCTACTCAGAAAGGTGGGGGTCACTGGACTGTGATTGTGAGGAAGGTGTAACACCGATCTCATTCCAATTGTTCTTTTGCCCCAGTGGTTTCTCTGCTTATTCATCAAGGCCTTTTCTGTTGTTCCTTGAGTAGAAGAGCCCCCCAATGAGGATGTTTTCAAGGTACCCAATCCTGAATGGTGGGGAGTTCACTGCCTTCACACGGCCACGAATCCAAATGTCTGCACCCATAAGTGGGGCAGCACAGCTGCAGAGTGTGAAGAGGCTGGGCAGTTATCAGAATCAATGGTTCTGAGTTATCAGCTGGAAACTTCCATTGGCCACTGTAGCCATCAACTCATGCCTCGTCATCTTGAGGTCCTTTTGGTTTTATATTGATCATTTCCTTGATGTTTGCAAGGGCGCATGGAGGAGTAAGTCCTTATGATAGCCTCCTAGTCGCATAATTTGGACTGGGAAGGTTTCCTGCTGAGTTATGGGATTGGGAGTTCTTTTTCCCCCTGAAGTCCCATTCCTAATGCCTGTGTTTGCACCGCCACCATTTTGTTTTGTGTGACACTGTGAGGGCCTCTCCACCTATTAACTAGGACTAAGTAGTTTCAGCATTAAATACACAATCGTTAATAAAAGCAGTCCATTTATATGCTGTTGTAACAAGGAAGACCTGTGGCACTTGAATAACTGGTTAATAGGTCATCAAGAAGATTAAAATATTTTATAGAAGATGTTTTTTTCCGGTGAAATTCCTCTAGCTTGCCCTGAAGGCCATGTTAGCTTCTGGTGTTTTTAGAGAGGTTTTCTCTAACTTTGGGAATGAGAGAAAAAGTTACTGCATAGGCGATCCAGCCCACCTGACGTTGCTAGTTGTTTGTATACACCTGGCACAGAGGCCTCCATTGGGTTCTGGTAGCCAAGATATAGGCCATCCCCAGTATGAATTACTTCCAAAAACAGCTGTTGGTGGTGTAATAATAAAAGATTGCTGCACACAAATTGATTCAATCTGATTTTCCAGCTGGATTGAATAAATTGGTGTGCACTTATAAATCTATCAATACGATGTCAGTTTCTGATCGAGTGGGTAAATGTTCACCTCTTTTGATCTTGTGGTTTACATCCATGTGGTGGTTTTCTGCTCAGTGTTACTCTACCTAAGGGCCCACTTGCATAGGTGTAACACTGATAGTCAACGGGCATGAGACAGGAGTATGTCCTTGTTACAAATTATTGTTCGAACAATTTTTGAAGTCAGCTTATACAGTGAGTCTCAATTTCTTCTTTTCCCTTATTTTTGATGATTAAATTGGATACAATGCTTGGAATCTATTACACGTCTTTCACACAAACACATGGGTTGCCTTATCCATCTGTGACCTCAAGAGATGAAGTTTTGCTTCCCAGTTGCATGTGTGAGCTAGTGACACAGTTTTCTTCTTCTTTAGGTTTGGAGATGGTCACTGTCAAAGAAGAATCAGAGGATCCTGAATATTACCAGTTTAACATTCCAGGTAACATTGAGTGTAACACTTTTACACTCACAAACTCTTATATATTAAGATTTCAGTCAAAGTGAAGGCTGTTGGAAGACATGGAAAGCTAGGTGAGATCTAGGTTCTGATGTAAGCTTGGCTCTATTTGAGGCAGGATTTTCCTTTGGTTAGAAGATTGTATGCATGGCTTTTGCTCTTCCGTCTGCTACGTTTGGTCCTTGTTTGTGCCTCCTTCCCTCCTTTCTCCCTTTCATCTCTTGTGATCTTGGTAACTTTTTAAAAACATAGCAAAGGGGAGGTACACGAGAATTCATAGGTTTGCAAAACAGCTATCCTATCGCCAAGTTCTCTGGCTTCAGTGATAGAGGGTGGTGTCTTTTGGGAAGGGGAGAGAGGAGAATTCAGGTTATATGTGATTATTTCCCCAGATTACTTTAAGTCTGTTACTATTTCAAGTGGATATGTTTTTACATATGATCAAAAGAAGCTGACATGCGGTCAGCACAAAACATTTTGCATAAAAAAGGGGAGCATGTTAATGTTCCTACTGTACAAATGAAAGCATAAGCATGACAAATGTTTGTTACATGTATCTGTGAAGTGGACCCCATGTCTCATCTACCTCGACTGTAATTCCTACTGAAATATGGAAGTGGGCCCCAGCTATCAATTGTGCAATTCAGCATGTGAGTGGTTTATGCAAATGATATTAGTTTACCATACTCTTTGAGTCATGTATGCATTTCTGATAGGTCTTCTGCTCTCTGTCAATGCTGATTTTCTGAAAAGCTTCTTTGTAGGGCAGCCTCCTCGCTAGCAAAAGTTGTTTAGGTCCCAGGGTTTAGTAACCTTATTCTTAATAAGGGGCTGAGTCTGCCTAGGTGGGAAGCTGCCTAGGAATGTTTGTATAGCACAAGCAATTTTGTCATGGAAAGGGAAGTGGGTGAAATTGTGATGAAATTGTATTCCTTCCAGCACCTCTCTATCCGTCTTCTGTGACAAATATATATATACTTGGCTGCCCAATAGTTGTTAATTTTCAGTATTCTTCAGTTCCTCATGGCTCGGCTTTGTTTTAACAGTACTAGACTTTAGCCCGAATGTGGCAGTTTGTGGTCGTGACATTTCTCCTCTTCCATTTGGTGTCTTGTTTAAGTTCCTTTGGCTGCGCTTTGAGGATGAAGTACATCAACTGGACACCAGTCTGGTCTTAAGACCCGTCGCCTAGAGCTGGCATTGCAAGTCAACACAGCAGTGTGGGTTAGCACACCTCTTTAGATAGATTATGCCAAGCAAAACATATCAGTCTTTAAGGTACAACAAGATTGATTGTTGCAATTTTGGCAACAGACTGCTTCCCTTGAAAGGTTGTCATAAAAAGGAGGGGTAGGATCTGTTGTTGATCATCCCAGAGTACAGGATACATATGTTAATAATGGGTTTGAGTTAAAGGAATCAGTTGAATATCAAGGAAAAACTTCCTAACTGATAGAGCAGTACAGCAATACTGTCGAAAAAATTAGCTTGGGAGGTGGTGAGCATTCCAGCACTGGAGGCATTCAAGAGAAAATTAGACGGCCATCTGTCAGGTATAATTTGATCTGGATTCTTTCACTGGAATCGTTGGCCATATACGTAGGTCCCTTGCAAATCAATTATTCTATGATTCTGTGGGGTTATTAAATGATCATGAAGATGGCCAAACATCATGTGAAGAGTGGCTCTCCTTAGGGTGTCGTAGTAAAAATATTGGAATTTGTGGCTTCCTATGTATTAGTTTAGGATATTTGTTTCCTTTGTTGTTGAAGTATTTCATTAGAATGAGAGGTTATTGAAGGTGCAGAGCATGGCTTTTGTTGTTCCGATCCAGGAAGCACACTATGAATGAAAAAACATCTTCAGATTGGTTTTTGGTTAGCGGCCCTACTCAGTATTGGTCTTTTAGGTGGGGCCAGGTTGTGGGATACAGTTTCTGCTCTACTTGCTGCGTTGTAGAAACTAAGGAGTGATCAGAAATTAAATGAGTGCCATTTGGAATTGAGAGATAAAGCTTGAGTTGGCTGGATTAATAAAGGATGCCAGTGGGCTTGGTCATGTCTTTCCTTCTTACCCTACCTAGAGTAGATGGATGGTTTTGAATGGAGGCGTGGATCTTGTTGAAAAAGGAATTGTTGAGACACGCTGTGTGTCAGTTCAAATCTCCTGTCAAATTGTGGACCCTTAATGAAGGGATTGGTGTGGCTGAAGTATGGTTTGTGATGAGCCATGGAACCTCAGCGTCAAAATCGTGGCTTTAAATGGGGTTTACAAACCCATAGTATGCACCAACTATATTGCAAAGCTTAGAACATTACTTTTACAAAGTACTTAGCTATTCTAACATAGACATCGTTGTGTGAGGCACCACTGTACTTAGCTATTCTAACATAGATACTGTATTCTAATATAATATAGTTTGAAGCCTACCTCTCCTCAGTAGTTAGTTACCACTATAGCAACAATTACAAGTGACTGTTTTTTTCTGGAAAATAAAGAACTATTTTTCAGTTATTATATAAAACATACCTAAGCAGTCCAATACATCATTAAAACAACACACACAGGATGGATTTTAAAAAAATATTAATGAGAGAATGACATGTTTGTGTGCCCAGACGTGATCCAAAGGTGATAAAAACAATAAAAAGTTTTACTCAGAATGCTGCTTTAAAAATACAGCCCTAGTTGTTCAATGAACTGGAATTCTCTTTCTGTTAAAATGATTCGACAGGAAAAAATAATAATTTTTTAAAAAAATTCAAGAAAGAGCATCTTTAATGTTATGTATTTTGTTAAATATTTTAGAGTCTGGTTGTGACCATTTGGAGAATAGAGGTAACAACCTAAAACAGCACACATTTCCTGACCCTTCTAGAATCTAAGCCTGCAATCCCTTATATAAATTTTCATCTGGAAGTAAGTGCCACTGAAGCCATTAGAGTTTATTTGATAAAAGTAATGCTAAAATTAAAAGAAAAAATGACAGTTATAGTGAAATAGAATGATGTTATATGCCACTACATTACAGTCATAATGAAGCCTAGTTAAAGTTTCACTATTAGAAAAAGGAGTTAATTATTTGTCATTTAGAAGTTCTAAGGTTTTGTGTGATGAGTTGGTCTATGCTGTGATACCCAGAAACAGATGCATCACAGCTGTATTCCTGAGCCCAGGGAAATCAAGCAGTTCTAAGCTGTGGTCTGCTATCATGTTCAGAAATTCAAATGTTATGAGTTTGCTGTGAGGTATGGATTGAATTGTTGATATTCCAGAATGTTGGGCTATACGATCCTTGACATTCACCTTCACAATATAGTTCTGTGAAATAGACCTTTGTTTCTGCAGTTGCTTGATTCAACTGAGCATGGTCTCTCATAATGGAAAGGGGAACATCTTGGAAAGTTACCTTTTTTTATGGCTGTCTTTGTTTACCAAAGCAGGTCCTTCAGAAACTTCGGCGATTGATGAGAAAATCGCCCTGGCAAAGTCTTACACAGGTATAGCAATTCACTTGTTCCTCATCACAGTGCTTTTTCTCACATCAGCATTGATGCCACAATAGCCATGTTCTGCCTGCCAATGGTACGGTTCTTCCAAACTTGGTTTTAGATCCATGGCCTGAATTTTGTGAAAGAAATCAATTATTTTCCTTTCTCTCCTATCTTGCTTAGTGGTTGTGAATTCAAGCAAGAGGACTTCTGTCTGTTAAGAGTGCTCTGTTTTTCTTTCTTCACATCTGCAATGTCTTTTTCAGTTGTGGAAACCATAGAAAGGCATATCCTTATTGAAATGCCTGTTAAAACCGTTAATCTTGTTATATGGCACTTTGAACAGGTTTATTGTGCCATAATTCTTATTTTTCATTCTCCGTTCCATATAGCCTTGTCAGGAGAGAGAAAAATAGCTCTAATGGAGAAAAATCATTTAAGAGTTTATTTGTGCAAACTTTGTATTCTCTCCTGTAATCTTTTTCTTGTGCCATCTCAAACTCTGTATACATCTTGACCAACATCATTCTGAACACTTTGTCATTTGGTGAGGGGTGGAATCCTCTTAAAACATCACCTTTTATTTTTATGTGAGTGTGAACATGGGAACAGAGATGGATGGGTTGACTCAGCCCATGTAGGCTCCTTTTCTTGAAACGATTCTGCTGGTAATTATAGTGCTGTACGGTTTTGGCACCACTGTGCTGTACAGATTTGTTCTGCCTACCAATTTGAGGTACCGATTCTGAAATTTCCAGTATTAACTAGCATCCTCCGCTTTTTTTATATGATGGTATGTTTATATTTATGTTTATAAAGGGAGCAACCAGGGTTCCGATTGCAGTGAAGGAACAGATGTGGAATTGCCGATAGAAGGTTAGAGATATGTACCTTTTTAAATTTTAAAAAAATAAACTCTGGAAAGGTGTTGAAATATGTATATTAAAAGAACATTTAATGCAAACATGTCCATTGTGTCTTGTGTCTTGCATTCTTTTTTCCACATTCCACATGGTTGTATATTTTTATTTGCCTCTCTTTGAGTTGTGATCCTGCATGTTTATTGTGGGTTACTTGAGAAGCTTTTTCGCTGTGATTCCCTTTCCTCTCCCGTACCTCCAAATAAGCAACAGAATCTGTTTAAAAACAACTTGATGCCTTCACAACCCGGGGAATGTTTTGCTTTGTATTGCCCCTTTTCCTGGCAACACCGAATGCGTAACACCATCACACAACTCAGCAAGCTCCTCTTGGCCCATCTTGTTCTTTAAAAAACAACAGAGGGCCAAATAGCTCAGTGGGTCTTCGACTTGTTCATATCTTGAAATGTCTTTGAGGGCAAAAAGTTCTCATAGGAAGACGAATCCCCCAGTTCGTATTATTTCCCATTGCAAATAGATAAATTGAATTGGAGTCGCCCTGCTCCTCTTGAGAATGTGACAGTGTCCTTTTAAAAAAATGTGCTTCCGTTGATTTGGATGATATAAAACTAGAAGCCCCCAGCCTGGCCCAGGAGAGCCAGATGGACGAAGCCAATGCTTCTAGAATTATGAATTATGTATCAGCCCCGAGTAGATTTTGTCTAGAGGGACGGGATATAAGTCCAAATAAAGTAAAAGTAAAGATCATTTTTCCATGGAATACTCCCGAATCAGCCCAGTTGAATGAAGTGTGAATTAAGCAAATGTATGGATGAGGTAGTTGTTGGAAAGTACTTAACTTCTTTTGCAAAATTCTGCAGGTTTTTCTTGCTGAGTTTATGAAATAAAACCAGGGAGGACTTGTATGTCTTGCACTTTGACATTGTCAAGACAAGAGATGTTTTTGACCACTTCCTATCTTGTCAGACAAATAACATTGATTATATATATTGCTTCTGGTTTATTTGGCATCATTTTGAAAAATTTGTTTGTTCTCTGATTGTATTTTGGATTGTTATGGACAATTCTAAATTTCTTACAATAATGTCATGTTGTATATTTTAAAAAAATGTTTTGCTGGACTGAAATTCGAAAATGAACTTTTTGCCTGAGTACTCTCTTCAAAAGAGTTTTCTGCAGATATTATATAATAAAGCTGGGGGGGATATTATCTGTATTCCTGAAATGGTGGTTCGTGTTCGCAATTAGTGGTGGAAACTAGCAAATAAGTAGTCATAACTTTTCAGAAAGCCTTTGAAAAGGGCCTTGGATTCTAATAAAGGATCCTGTGTTCTGTAAGATATGAAGACACTACTGTAGTGAACGTTTTTCTCCCATAGAATTAAATCCTTGTAGACATAATAAGTTATGCATGTGGGAATCACATCCTTAAAACTTGTAGATTCTTTTCAGTTGTTTTAGGCCATGATTCAGCTTCATGAGAATGATTATCTGCAAGCCTTTGGCTGGCATGGTCTATTTTCTGTCTCCTCATATGCATTTTGGAGGAGTTCAGATATACTTCTTCATTCCTTTTGATTTACTACAGTTGGCTCTTTGGTCAGAAACTACCTGGGAATATCTAACTGCAGTTGATTTAAAGCAGCGGGGTCAGAGGCTAAAGTACAAGCTTGGCTGCTTTTAAAACTACCTGTGCCTGCACTAGGAGCAGGCATCTCTCAGACTCAGGCTTATGTGGCTAAGTTACGGTTTAGTGTTAAGCCTGACATGTAACATTAAACTGTGGTTTACCCTTAAGTTTGAATGTGTTGTCTAGTGTCTTCATGCGTTGTTTGATAAATCACAAATAAAATCTTCAAATGTACCAAAAGGATAAGAAAAGAAAAACTCCACGTTAACTACTCCACTTAAAAAAGCTATACATAAGAAATATAGAACTAAATTACAATTTAAATGTGTGCATTAGTACAACACCTAGTGTTCAGCATTACCTGAACGAGGGTGGAAAACTGGGTGCCAGTCTAAAATATGGTACATCATCATGCCTTAATTGATGCAAAACCATGATTAATTGGAAGCTGATTAAATTAGATTTGGTGTAGCTTTGTAAATACAGTGGTGCCCCGTTTGACAACGATAATGCGTTCCAAGAAAACCGCTGTACAGCGAAATCTACAGTGGTGCCCCGTTTGACAACGATAATGTGTTCCAAGAAAACCGCTGTACAGTGAAATCTTCATCAAGCGGAAAAAACCCCCCATTGAAATGCATTTAAAACTGGTAAGTGCATTCCAATGGGGGAAATACCTGCTCGTCCAGCGAAGATCCTCCATAGGGGAAGCCATATTGCATCGCTGTCTTCTGGAAATAGGTCCGGAAAATAGTGGGGAGCCATTTTAAAAACCCGACAATCAGCTGTTTTTAATCGTCATGAAGCGAAAAATCGGAGCGAAAAATCAGTTCCCGAAGTAGGGAACTAATCGTCGTAAAATGAAAAAAACCCATTGGAATCATTGTTTTGCGATCGCTATAGCGATTACAAAAAACACATCATCAAGCAATTTCATCGTCTAACGGAGTAATCGTCAAGCAGGGCACCACTATATTTCGTAAAGTTTGCTTGCCTGCCAGTCATCATGTTAGCACATACCTGTTAGTCATATATGTCAAATTTACAGTCTGAGAGAGAATTTATTTGGAAACTGTTTTCAAATCCTCCTTTTTTGGGATGTTTAAATACTTTCGTGATAGACAAACAGGCTATGGGTAGGCTTTCTCCTATGTCTCTTGAAATAAGTCAGCATTTCCCAACCTTTTTCAAATCATGACCCACCCTCCAAATAACCCACAATCCCCCCCACTATATTTGTATAAAAAGGCATTTTAATGGGTTAAACAAAACACATTAAAAATAGACTTTTTGGAGTATAATTCTAATATGAATGTAATAATGCATAATTATTTGATTGGGACTATCTGCCTCTACCAAATAAAATTTGAGAAGGAAAAATGCTTTGCACTTTAAACTTAATTTCTTTTTGGATGTGGAAATGACCCTCTCTTCATGTCTCTCCCCACCCAATCCCCGTCAGTGAAGAGCCCTCCCCCAAGCCTAAATAATCTTCCCCATGGGCTCTGCCCTGTGTCCCACCCCCCTGCCAGTTCTCTTCCCTCACCTTCCTCCCCCTCCCCTTGCCTTCCTCCTTCATGACTCAGGTGGAACTCCCAGGCATCTCGCTGGGCAGGTTAACTCTCCCTTCACTGCACTACCATTGCCATTTGCAGAAGAGTGGGAGATTCATTCAGGTGGCGCGAAAGGCACCACTGGCGTGGTGGCAAGGACTTTTCAATCCCGCCGCCATCTTGGGCGTCAGCGTTCCCAGCATGCATGGTGCACTTGCCTCATCCAGGCCTGTTTGAGCCAAGCTAGTGCTTGAGTCCAAAGGGCCGACATCAGTCTTCCAAAGATGGATGGGGAGGAGCAGAGAGAAACAAGTAGGAGAACCTCTTTTGGAAGGAGTGATGCACATATGAAAAAGGAAAATCCATCCAAAGTGGTAGAGAAACAACCAAGAACTAGGTTGCCTGCACTTCTGGTTCAGATTAAAGTTATCAGATTATCAGATTAAAGTTATCAGATTAAAGTTATTCAGATTAAAATAAAATGGCATTGTTAATATAATAAATATAAAAATAATTGCAACTAAAAATAGCCACATTGACCTCTGAGAAAACATATCAGTTGCTTTCACAGATCAGGTGGGTCAGTAACTAGTGTTCAACGTGGTATGTTCAGTCATGTGGCCAGAAACTCATCTAAAGAACAACAGAAGAAAATTGTTAAAAGGAATCTCTCAAAATGCAATTTTGTATAATTAAATTCTTCATACTACTTTTTAGTTTTGAGAGAAGATAAGCATCTTGGATCAATGTTCTCTTGAGCCTGGTCTTCCTCACTTAGAATACTTAAAAATCATCAATGGAATTCTCTGAATTTGAAGGAAAATGTGATGGGAATAAAGATCTGCTTGAAGATACTGTGGAAGAATCATTTCAGCTTTTATGTCTGCATTACAGATCATACTTGGTAACAGACTGTATTCTACTTTGCCTCTCTTTCTTAAGTGGATCTCTCTGAGTTTTTCTCCAGTTAATAACGAAGACAAGAATTTGGGCAAGCCATCTTATGTGCTGGCAAAGCCACCAGTAGTGTGGTAACAGAACACGTTTACAGCGAATGGTGGGACACTTTGAAAATCACATTCCTCTCCTCTGGACTATTCAAGGGTCTTTAAGAGTCGTCCTTCTCAATACTCTTGTTTTGATGCATTTTTTTTTCACTTTGGAACCAAGAGCAAGCAAGTTTGCAAGCAGCTGTTTTGAAGAAGGCAGTATCTGGTGGAAGTTTCTGGAACGTCAAGAAGGAGAAGCTGACAGGGGAGATGTGCCACTTGCTCAGTAGATTGGGAAGGTGATAGAATCCACCAGATCTCTTAAAGAAAATTCCAAATACAGCCGTAATACTGAACCCCTGTTGGCTGTTCAATACTAATGCACTGCTTTTTATGCAAACTTCATGGGATTGAAACCTTTATTACCTATGTATCATTGTAATTTTCTTGTGTGAAAGAGACTTTGTAAGCGGGTAAGGAAATATCTGACAATGAAAATCCTAATGCTAGAGAACTCTCCATATCTGCTGTACCTTATAGCTCAGAGTTGAGAAATCCACTGTTCCTTACCGTCATTCCATCGGGCTTGAAGCTTGTGATAAAACTATGTTGACTTATGTATTTGTGGGCTTGTCTTTTTCTTGGTGCACAACACACATGTTTGATTCACTGTTGTGGAGTAAAGTGGCTCTTCGCAGAGTGCCTGCACCGTTCAGACTTGGTTTTGTGTTCTGCTTTTTTCAGATTCTTCTCAACATGCCACTTCTGAAACAAGTGAGGATCCTGAAGTGGAAGTGACCATTGAAGGTTGGCCATTTTCTCAACTACTTTTATTTTGCTCACTTGTTTCAGAAGAATTTCAGTCATGCGGCGTGGTGTGCATTTCTTTCATTCCCTTCCTACAAAAACAAAAACAAAAACACCCTTCTCATGTCACAGCATTTTACTGAGCAGGATGGTTTTTAAAACATGTTGGATTCAAGTTGTCTAGAAGGCAATAGATTTCTTGCAGAGGTGTTAGGCGTTCAAGAGCATGTGGAATGAAAGTTGGATACTGTACCCTGAGGCAGTAAGAAGTAGCTGGTTTTGCTGCTTTTCAGAAGGAAGTACCATATTTTTCCGTGTATAAGACTCCCCCCCACTTTTCTAACCCAAAATTAAGGAATCTAAGTGGGGCTTAGCAAGTGTAGGGGGAAAGGGATCAAAGCACTGCAGGATTGCTTTGATCCCTACTTTCCCCATCACTTGTTTTTTTTCTCTCCTCAGCTTACTTCCGTGTATAAGACAACTCTCAATTTTTAGTCTAAAGATTTTAGACAAAAGTATAGTCTTATACATGGAAAAATACGATAGCTTGAGCCAGTGCTGTTTTACTTGGTTGAACTTTTTTTTGAGAGGACTACAGTTTATGGTTATTCTCCACAGAAACGCTATATTCTTATTTGTAGACTATAGAAACTGAAAGTGCTTATCATTGGTTATTTCATTTTGCAGAACTTTCATAAAATAGAGGCGTAGATAACGTAAAAGTGTCTGTGAAGCTGAATACCTAACATTCAAGGTCTCAGTGATACCTTTTGTTTCTCGAATCTGTCTCTTCCTCAGTTCTGTAAATGTCTCTCTTGGTGGATCTCCCAACATTGGGTATTGTCTGTTCTTGACTGGTGTGCTGTTAAGTGATGCTAATCTCTGCAGCCAAGAAACAAAGCAAGTGAGGTAAAAGTAGATGAAAAACTTAAACCGATCTTTAAATTGGGAGGACCTGCTTCTTGTCTAGATTTTGCAATTTCTGGTACTTACATCATGTTCCTACGCTACAGACTGTAAATTAGTTGTAACTCTGTAAGATGTAACTGGTTGTAACTCTGCTGAGGTAGGTCAGAGAAATTTGTGCTAAATGAGCTGATAAGGTGGAGTTGCTGTCAAATGCTGCTGTGAGTATGTTTGGATGATGAGTTACAAGTGTTCTTGCCCATGTAGTGTGCCATTCTTTTTTATATAATACCAGAGGAAATGGGCAGGATGTTTCTGCCTGTAAGGAAGTGTAAGGCGCTGGTACTGTTTTAAGCATGTGTAGTAAAAAAAGTCTACATATTCAATAGATAGTTGCAGATTTTCTAGATGGGGATAGTGAGAATGGGTGCCGCATATCATTGGTTTGGTGTATAGGTAGAAGTAGAGGCATGGTTTAGAGTGAAGGGTTAACCCAAAGTATATGAGGATCCATGGCCTATAAATTGATTAGTCTGTCTTCTGTTCTCAGCAGTAGCATAGCCAGTCTGTCGATACAAAACCCCACCCCATAGTTAAACACTTAAAGAGTGGAGGTTCTCTAATGGCACTTTACTGTGTATCTTTGTTGACAGCATTTCTCTGCTAGAATATTCTGACTTTTGAGAAGCTCTTGGTTTCCTTTTTAAACTAGGGAATGTATGAAGTGCATCTGAGGCTGAATGGGGAGGCTGCTGAAAGCAAAACCGCTAGGAACATTTTGATGTGTCTTGTGTGCATGTACATCCGGCATCTACTTTTTTCTTTTAATCTTTTAGTTCACGTTTGCATCATTAATAATTAAAGATGTGATTTAACCATGATTTACCTTTAAGCGTTTTTTCCCCACAGATGTAGGTTTTCCATTCTGGTTTGTGAGGAGATTATTTTTAATCTGTAGATTTAACAGTATGTGTTAAAATTACTATTTGTATAATGCTTTTTGGCAGTCATTGCTGAAACTTTGCCAACCTTTTCCCTAGTTGCTTGCAATTTCTATTCATGCATATGTTAATGGAATAGAAATCAGCTTTCTATCTGTCTCCCCACCCCAACCCCTCTGTATCATTTATGTGGCGCTTTTGTTGGAACACTGGATCTAGGACAAGCTTGTATTCTGCAATTTTCTTTATGGTGCTTATTCCCCCTCTCCTCAAATTCCTGTTATCTGATGTATTCCACAATAGGGGGTGCTGGATTTCCTGTAAGAGTGTACAAAATCCCCACATAAGAGTAAGACGTTGCATTCTTGAAAACACCGTTTGCATAACTCTTGTGCACATTCTGGTTCTGTTACCATAATTTGAACCTTGAACATGAAATTTAGATGCCAGGGACTCACCGCGAGGTATTTTCCTGTTTTGGAAAAGTTTACCTCTTTGAGTGGCAAATAATTGAGCTGGTGTCATGGTATCTTGAAAGTCATTCCACATAGTCTGACAGCCACCTTGATGCATCTGTGTGTGTTTTTCTGTCTGAAGATGACGACGACTATTTACCACCTCATAAGAAAACGAAGAACATAGAACCAGTCAATGATGCTGCCAACGTGGGAAGAAGAAAAGCTAGAGAGTTCAATTTTGGTAAGTCTTGAGTGAAAGGGCTCTGAATGTCTCCTTGTTCGCCATTTTGTTGGACTAGCTTGGGCTCGTTCTGGAGCGTACTAGCATTCACACTTATACCTGAATCCCATGAAAATACAATTCTACCTTTTACCCAACCATAGGTATAGCTAATGGTAATGTAATTTGCAGTTTCATGTTGTGAGCTGCCTGGGATTCCACATGGGAGAAGGTCTGGGCATAAATTAAATAAATAAATGAATGGCTTGTAGTTGATGGAATTAGAATGGCCATGTTTTGACTTTTCTGCATGTTCAGTCACATGAAGGAGGTAATTTAATGTATATGAACATCAGGTTTAGATGTGGGCCTTTGCCAAAAGGTCCCCATCAATTCCAGTATCTCCTCTCGATAATACCTTTGTGACAGCATGGCATAAGTGTGCAAAAATGATGGAATGTTCCAGGTCTCAGTGCATTAGTAGCTTCAGTTTGGACCAGTAGTGTCTTGCAGCCTTTATTTTTTAAAGAAGTAGGACGTCAGTGTTGTCTGTAAATCATCTATCACCAGGATAGGAGTAATGATGATAAAGAGGTTGTATATGGTGCCTCGTGTGATCTTAGTTCAGTTGCCTCTCAATACGGCTTCATGCACTCCTTGTAACTCTGGCCTTTTAAAAAACTCATCCCAATTAAATGTTTCAGGCTCTGCATTAAAATAATTTGTCAGCAGCTGCCACAAATAAATATTAACTTTGATGATAGAGAGCGGCTGTGACTGGCCTGAAGAGAAGCAAACTTTTGACAAAACATTTCAAAACTCTCTCCAAAAGAAGAACAGATGTGTATTTTAATTGCATTACCTTTTTATATTCATGCAGGCGCTTGGCAACATGGCAAAACATGTAATCCAGAATTCAACCACTTGATATATTAGAAGATTGACATATCTTACTTTGGGCTAACATTATTTTTCCTTTCAGAGAAATGGAATGCCCGCATTACAGACTTGAGAAAGCAAGTTGAAGAGTTATTTGAAAGGAAATATGGTATGTGCTCATATACTCTTGTTTCTCTTTCAAACTGTTAGTCCATAGCATTTGGAAGTGCCCAGTAATTTTTTTTCCGTTTGGAAACAGAACAAAAAAACAAGAGGGCTGAGTTCCTCATGGCTTAGAGTCTGAATTCTTTGGTCATGTTGTCCTGCCGTTGGCCATGGACTGCCAGTGCCAATGAGTGTTTGTAGCCGTGTTGTTTTCTTCAAGATCAGAGAGGTTGCAATAGATGTATCTCCTGATCAGGAAATTCTGTGTGTATTTGATTCTTTGATTCTTAAGACGTCAGGCTAGTTGTACTGGGTTCTACTTAGTCATGTGGAGTTGGGCTGACAGAGATGAATTCCCTTCCTTTGGTCTCCAACCCCTGTAGACCTGCAGAACTTTACATACAGAAGATCAGGGAGCCTTGCTGAATGGGAATAGCCATGAAGCAAAGAGAGAAACATTAAAACATTCGGTTTATGGGAACTATTTATAAGTAGTGCATTTCCACTGGAAATGTGGATTTAGTTTTTTGCCATGTTCATTAGCCATTTTCTATTCCATTCCATTCCATTGCCTGCTCCTGCTGGCCCTTTTGATTCTTGTACAATAACCTTGAACAGAATGTTTTTCCATCCTACCCGCATCCAGAAAACTTCTACCATATTCAAGTCTTCCCCCTAACTCTCGGTTTTGAGCCTAAAGTCCATTCTGAAAAATTTTATACTGTTTCTTGAATTCTCCATCCATTGTTCATCCATTGTCAGCACTTGCATGGAATCCATACAGTTGCTGAAGTAAGATAAAGACCGTTCCAAAGCAAAGTACAGTTCAGCGCCCATTCTGAACCCTGGAAGAGTTTGAGGAAAACCTTTGCTGTTTGAATTCTTAGCGTAATAACAGCTGACACTCTTCTTTCAACAAATAGATGGGTCACTCAGTTCACTAATTCATTTGCCCTCTCAATTCCAGGCCTAGCATCTAAATAGTACTATATACTACGTAGTATTTGTATATAGCAGGAGTCAATTTTGATTTTTACAAATGTCTATATGGCTTTTAAAGGGTAATCATATTCTTGTGGGTACAATTTGCCGTTGTCCTGCCGTTGGCCATGGACTGCCAGTGCCAATGAGTGTTTGTAGCCGTGTTGTTTTCTTCAAGATCAGAGAGGTTGCAATAGATGTATCTCCTGATCAGGAAATTCTGTGTGTATTTGATTCTTTGATTCTTAAGACGTCAGGCTAGTTGTACTGGGTTCTACTTAGTCATGTGGAGTTGGGCTGACAGAGATGAATTCCCTTCCTTTGGTCTCCAACCCCTGTAGACCTGCAGAACTTTACATACAGAAGATCAGGGAGCCTTGCTGAATAGGAATAGCCATGAAGCAAAGAGAGAAACATTAAAACATTCGGTTTATGGGAACTATTTATAAGTAGTGCATTTCCACTGGAAATGTGGATTTAGTTTTTTGCCATGTTCATTAGCCATTTTCTATTCCATTCCATTGCCTGCTCCTGCTGGCCCTTTTGATTCTTGTACAATAACCTTGAACAGAATGTTTTTCCATCCTACCCGCATCCAGAAAACTTCTACCATATTCAAGTCTTCCCCCTAACTCTCGGTTTTGAGCCTAAAGTCCATTCTGAAAAATTTTCTACTGTTTCTTGAATTCTCCATCCATTGTTCATCCATTGTCAGCACTTGCATGGAATCCATACAGTTGCTGAAGTAAGATAAAGACCGTTCCAAAGCAAAGTACAGTTCAGCGCCCATTCTGAACCCTGGAAGAGTTTGAGGAAAACCTTTGCTGTTTGAATTCTTAGCGTAATAACAGCTGACACTCTTCTTTCAACAAATAGATGGGTCACTCAGTTCACTAATTCATTTGCCCTCTCAATTCCAGGCCTAGCATCTAAATAGTACTATATACTACGTAGTATTTGTATATAGCAGGAGTCAATTTTGATTTTTACAAATGTCTATATGGCTTTTAAAGGGTAATCATATTCTTGTGGGTACAATTTGCCATTTTTTGATTAAGACTTTTTTTCAGACTGTAGTATGGGATGTGCTGGGGTTACATACTTTGCCCCTCCCAGTACATCTTTGACTTGACACAACTGTGATGAAAGACTTTAAGTATGTTCAGTGTGGTGTGCTTGAATTGACAAAACAGCATTTGTGATCCGCTGTCAAAAATGAATCTGGCTGCACAATTTGAAGGGATCTTCAAACTATGTCTTCGGCCCCTTACCGCTCAATGTGATACATTGATTTTCCCAGAGTTAAATCACAATTTATTTCCTGGATCATGGAGTCTAGGCCAGTGGGTAAAACAAAGTAACTAAAAAAAAGTACTAAAAAAATAGTCATTCCAAATGATAGCTTGTATGTTTTGGAAGCTCAAAGCCATGCTTTGCGTTCCGAACATAGCTTGGGAAGGTTACTTTTTTTGGGGGGGGGGTGTGTCCTGCCAAGAATTCCCTCATTTAGCATTTGCCCTGCACCTGCTGGCTGGAGGATTCTGACATTTTCCGTCCCAACTAATAGATTTGGTTGTAGCTCAAGGCTCTCTATGTGTCAGTGTGGTGTCCTTAGTTGAGCCAGTGACACTTGGCCCACCCCCCTTCTTTATTTATTTTTCCTGTCTAATGGGAAGCTAGGTACAGTGCGCATCATTGCACAAAACATGTTTCTAGGACAGATCTGTTTTAATTGCCAAGCTAAGTTGTGCTTAACTTGTTTTTCTTTTTTATATATATTATATATTAAAGCTGAAGCAATTAATGCAAAAGGCCCCGTGTCGATCCCATACCCACTCTTCCAGTCTCATGTTGAAGATTTGTATGTGGAAGGACTACCAGAAGGGATCCCCTTCCGGCGACCCTCCACTTATGGGATCCCTCGCCTCGAAAGGATTCTGCTGGCAAAGGAACGGATACGATTTGTCATTAAGAAGTGAGTGGATTTTAACATAGATTCTGATCTGGGACACAAAGTCCTTTGTTCTTTTTTCTCTCTCTGCTACATAGCTTTCAGCGATTTCTTTGTCCTGCAATTTCAAACGGAGGCTTCAGAGATAAGCCTAAACTAGGTGGTGACTGCGGTGTGCTAATGGCTGAAATATATATATTTTTCTTTAAATTATTGCAGGCACGAACTACTAAACTCAACACGAGAAGACCTGCCATTAGACAAACCTGTTGCGGGAGGTAAGGGTGTAAGTTTTTGGTTATGGCACTCTGTGTATTAAATCTTTCTTCCAGGGAGGCCCCCTAAGTGATTGTGTTGTTTGTTTTTGTATGGGTGACCAAAGCTTTTGTCCCCTTGTTCTCTCAGTCATTTTAAAAGGTATTTGAAAAGACCTTTTGCTGTTTATGGCGATTTTCTATGTATTTTTTTAATACCGCCTTGCAAACCTGGTATACATAACCACATTGATATCTAAATTTCATGCCACATGCTGTAACATTAAACTGGAGCCAAGGAAACCCAGGAGAATGAACCACTTCCTTTCACTTTGTTTAGATCGGCCATTCTCAGCCTTTTTTTGGCCACGTCCATAAACACAATGTAGGCTAAAACAGGATTGTACAGGTTGCATAACAAACCTCATAGGCGGTGTGTGAAGAATTATTTCTTGTCTGTGGCCCCCTTTGAATGGGCCAGGGGGGCCTCCAGGGGGTGCCATGTGTCCCCTTTTGAGAATGTCTGGTTTTGATCAAGGCTTAGAATTGATTACAATTCAGGAATCGTCCTGATATACCTTTAGCGTAGTGGTTTAGTTACCTGACTGAAGAGTCAGTGATGGGGAGTTCTGTTCCAGCTGTGCCACCATGACAGGGACTGGACTCTATGATCCTGGTTTCCTTCCAGTTCTGCAGTTCTAAGATGAAGATAATGATGAATTTTATTTTTTTTTTAATGCAATTATCTTGGCTGCTACCACCCAGGACTCGGATGCCTACTTTCTGCCCTTTCGTCCCTTTAACCCTATTTCTATTTTTTTCCTGCTGTTTCTCAGCATCTGTTTTCTCCTGCACTCCCAAGTTGCCAGTCTCTGCCTTTGTTCTGTCTCTTATTTTCCCATTTCTTGAGATTTGCTAGTAGTTTGTGAGGGTATCTAGGGATAGTTCCCTTCTATCTCTGTGGGTGAAGAAATATTTGGACCCTAATTCCAATCAGTCCTACCTGTTGTTGATGAATGTTGAGCATTGCAGACCAACAATGTCTGGATGGCCGCCCTTGGCCAGCTTTTCCATCTCTGGCTTCTCCCATCAGTTCCTTGTACTTACTTTCTTGCTGAACCTTTTATCGCTGTGAGTCCAGGACACAAGTATGGTAAAATGAACACTGCTTACCAAGTAAAACAGGGATTTTTGTCTTTGAAATGTTTAACATTTTAATAAAAACCCTTGTTTTTACTGTTGATCATAGTGAAAGAAGAGTGGTATGCCCGAATCACCAAATTAAGGAAGATGGTTGATCAGTTATTCTGCAAAAAGTTTGGTGAGTCTCTCTCTCTCACTCACTCACTCACTCTCACTCAGGTGTAAGGATCTACTCTTTCTTCCTGACCCCTTCCAAACACAAATCATTCTTGAAAAGGGAATAAGATCAACAAGCAGCAGTTTTCTTACTTGCAAGTCTACCATAATAACTAAGAAAGTGGCTTATAAATCGAGATGATTCTTGTTTGAGTCTTATGTCTGTCGTGGATTTATGAATTGTCCAACTGTATCTCCTAATAGCTGAGGCCTTGGGGAGCTCTGAACCCAAGGCTGTACCTTACCAGAAATTTGAAGCGCACCCCACTGATCTTTATGTGGAGGGTCTGCCAGAAAACATCCCGTTTCGAAGCCCGTCATGGTATGGAATTCCTCGGCTGGAGAAGATTCTTCAAGTGGGCAACAGAATAAAATTTGTGATAAAAAAGTAAGGTTAATTACATTTGCATTTTAGTATTTGGGGGACTTCCTTGGGGCATGTTCAGTATATAGTGCCATATTGAGATGAAGGGTAAAATCCTGTTTGTGCAGGTGAAATGTGAAGTTTCTTTGCTTAAATGTGCCAGGTGCCATGCCTGCAACATGGAATAGCACTACCCAGTTGCACAGTTGTTTACAATGTCCACCTCAGTGCTAGTTTCGCTGTCATGGGAGCAACATCAAGTTGCTTCTGCTCAGTTACAAGATTTTGCATTAAGTATGTTAGACTAGAAATTATTGTATAGGGTTTTTATTGTGAAGGAGGTATTTTTGGCAAGAAAATATATAGTGTACAATCCTAGTCATATTCTGTCCATTTTTGCTTTAGCACTTCTCTCTGAAATTGATCTGCTTCCTCTTTGAGCATCAGAGTTGGGCACTGTTGTTCAGGGACTGGGGCAGCGTAATCATCCCTGTGGGATGATAGGCTGTTTTAGAGTACTTTTATAATGTGCGAAGCATAGATGGTGCAGCTTCTATAATAACCTAATTGTGTCTGTATACATTTTGCCATCTTGGTTATGGTTTTTGTGCATTTGAGACAGCTTAGTGGCAATTCCATCTTGTGCTGTTTGGCTTGTAAAAGTATGTTGGTTTGAGCTGCTGCTCGGTGATTTTGTTTTGAGATCATTTTTGCAGTGCAGAACATGCAGATTAAGTCGGTATAGCTCCGTGGGTGGACTCCAGATAACCCGCTGTGTTTCCTGGACGATGGGTGGCTGATGGGGTTAAGTGTCCTTCCACTTTGGTGGTCTTGGGCAAGCTGCACATTGGTCCCACAGTGCCACCAGAAGGAGGAGACTGTTAAATCCGTTCTAAATACTTTACTGCTAAAAATCCTGAGAGGGCCATTGGAAATTCGAAATTACTTGATGACAAAGAATTTATTAAGTCAAATCAGAAAGTTTAGTGAAGTGATATTAAACAATTGCAGAACAAGGATCACCATGTTAGTAATTTTTATTACTTTTTAAATAATTATTACAGGCCAGATTTACTAACAGTCACTCCCGCTGAAGTTAGCCAGCCGAGGACAAATATGCCTGGTAAGATGAATGTATCTAAAGTGGCTAGAAGTATGTGGAGAGATTAACAAACACACACTTGGGCACACATGTGCAAAAAGGATTGTGTCACCTTTAATTTCAGTGTTTCTGTGGGTTACAACCCAGTTCTTCAGATATATCTGATACTTACTGATATTTCAGAGATGTTTCTGAAGAAGTGGATTGTAGTCCTCGGGATCCCACACCAAAATAAACTTGTTTGTCTTGAATGGTGCTGCAGCCTTTGGTCCATTAATTTTGTGTGTTAGCATGCTCTACAGAGGCATCATGTGCTCTAATTAACATTTTTATAAGCACGGTTAATAAAAAGGATGATATTCAAATGCAGAATGCATGTTCAAAAAGTATATGAAAATATTCTTAATAAAAGTGTGTGAATGTAAGATAAATACACAGCTTGTACGCAAAGTCATTGTATAGTGTCCCCAGGACTTTATTTACTTTTACAGGTTTTGTTCGTGCGCATGCAAAGCTGCTATAGTCATGATTTGAGTTGTTAGTGCACATTCATTATCTTTGCCAGTTTAATGATAAAACATGTATTGTGTGTTGTTTTTTAAAATGCAGTCAAAGAAGACTGGAATGTCAGAATCACAAAACTGAGGAAGCAAGTAGAAGAGATATTTAATCTGAAATTTGGTAAGTTGGCCTTGGACATTTGCACGGCAGGACTTTAACATGCTGAAATGACTCTTCCAAGTATAAAGCGCTTGTTATGAAATTGTGGCCAGCTGCTTTATTTACTTTTAGAAAACGGCGACCAAAACTGTAGATCCGATGGCCTGCCCCTCATCCCTGTTGTAGACATTCATAGGACCTTGGGGGAGGCAGTACTTTCTAGTCTTCTCTCTGTAAAACTGGGGTTGGACCTCAGCTGTTTTGTTGTTCCGGTTTGTAACAACTGTGTAAAAATCGTCGATTCCTTCCTGCTCATTTGTTCCCACAGCAAGTAGGAGCAGCTAGACAAACTACTGGCATTCTCTCCATGTTTTGTTCATCCTTCCAGGCAAAGTGTTGTCTTTCTCACCAAGAAGCCAGAGAGTTGCAATCCGGTGCTGTGCCACAGCCGACAACTGGCTTGTTGGGAGAGAGAGATACAACCCTACATGGATGGTTTGGTTTAGTCCCTGCCGCTCAGAGGAGTGGACATGATTTGGGCTGTGGGGCGTTCACTGTAATACAGAATAATCCAGCACAGTGAGGGGTTCACAATGACCCAGAATGCTGTAGAATGTGACCATTGTGTCCCATTGCGGCCTCTTTTCTTTTTTTTTCCAGGACAAGCCTTGGGTCTGAATGAGGCTGTGAAGGTTCCTTACCCTGTCTTTGAGTCAAACCCCGAACATCTATATGTGGAAGGTTTGCCTGAAGGCATCCCTTTTCGAAGCCCAACCTGGTTTGGAATCCCACGCCTAGAAAGGATTGTCCGAGGGAGCGGGAAGATCAGGTTTATTGTGAAGAAGTAAGCGGGTAGTTTGCCTTTTTAGGTCTTTTCAATAGTGTGATAGCTTTATTGTTGTTGTTGTTGTTGTTGTTGTTGTTGTTGTTGTTCAATAGTCTGATAGATTTATTGTTGTTGTTGTTGTTGCTGTTGTTGTTGCTGCTGCTGCTGCGGCTGCTGTTTTTGTTTTTGTGTTTGTTTGTTTGTTTGTATTTCATCCCTGATTTTGTTTGCTTGAAGCAGAGAAGTGAGTGCTATATTACAGTGCTTTCCTGGTAAACCTGGAACTCTTTTCTCTAGCGTTTGTTCAGATTAATTGTATTCAACGGGGATCTTCATAGCTACATCTAAAGAAATGGGTTGTGCTTTTTAAAAAAAAAATGGCTAAAAGGTTTCAGTTTCCCTCTGAAAATTCAGAGCGTTAAACTCAGCTGGCATGCTGAATTGGAGGGAAACAATCATGAAATGTGCATGTGAGTCCTCACCAAGAGACGTTAGTCACCTTTACATGGGATGTGAAGACTAAGATTTTGTCTTTTAATGAGTTCTGTTTTCAAATCGCAGTTTGGGGCGGGTATTATCAGTTGTCATGTTCTACATTGGGCCCTTAGAACAATAGCAACCGGGCCCTCTTCACATGGGTGTGACTTTCCTTGCTTGAACATACTACTTCCAACACAAGGACA